AAATAAAGGGTTGGGGATGTAGCTCAGTTCAAAGGCTCTGGCTTCAAGCCCTAGTAACAAACAAAACAACAGTACACACACCCAGACGCCGCGCTCTGTGGGGCCGTGCAGCACCAGTCTTCTTGCCGGCCGCACAGGGACGCCCTCCGCACCCAGCCGCTGCTGCCATCACTTCCTCCCCCTCTGTTCCGGTTCGGGGCAGCCCCGAAGCCTCACGCCCCCATAGATGGAGCTCCTGGAGGGTGACGGGGCCGCGGGGCTCCCTTCGGAGGTGCAGCCCAGTCGGGAGGGGTCCCTGGGGGTTGGGACACAGAAGCAGCCCCCACGCCTGCTCCTCCCTTTCCTGTGGCGGGCTCCCAGGTCGGGACGGCTTTCCTCCACGCAGGCCACTGCCCCACACTGCGGCCTGCAGCCCGCTGACCCTGGACTGAAACTTCTGAAAACTGTGGCCAAGACAGACCTCCCCTTTCACGGTTAGGGTTGTGCCCAGCAGCGGGGAAAGTGTCCTGCACGCCCTCCCCATCGTACCTGGGGCCCGGCAGCCCCACAGGGCCGCAGCCAGCCCCGCAGCTCTGTGCCAACACGCGCCTCGCTTGGCTCTGTGGAGTTTAAAAGGTGGGTGGGAAAGGAACTCCCATGTTTTCCATTACTGAATTTACTTAAAACTGGAGAGCTGGGCGTGGTGGTGCACGTCTGTAATCCCAGCACTCTGGAAGGCTGAAGCAGGAGGATTACTGCTACAAAGTGAGTTCAAGGCCAGCCTGAACTACAGAGGGGGACCCTGTCTCAAAAAGACAAAAAAAAAAAAAACTGGAAAAAAACATTCACTAGAGGGGCTGGGGATTTAGCTCAGCAGCACAGCGCCTACCTGGCAAGCGTGACGTCGTGAGTTCAATTCCCGTTACTGGAAAAAAAACAAAAACAAAAAAAACAATCACTAGAATGATACTTCATCTAACTTTAGATTTTTTTATTTTTTTAGTACTGAACACTTGGGTTCAGTACTGAACTTGAACCCCAGTGTCTTCCTCAATTACTGAATCACTGAGGCTGGGCTTAAACTTGGCATCCTCCTGCCTCAGGCTCCCAGAACACTGGCATTGCAGGCCTGCACCACCACACCAGTTGTTTAGCTTTTTGAAAGGAAAAATAGACACATACCTCTCTAAATGGCCCCCCAAGTCCATATTTTGCATCTCTTAAAAGTAGTAACAGCTTTTATTCCCTTTTCCTGGCACCTGGCTTGGGCTTTGGGCTTAGGGTAGAAAAGATGAGACTTTTCCTGCCTCTGCTCCCGTTTGTTCCCTGCCCTCTGCTGGGTTCTCCAGCCTTGTATTTGCCAGGCCGAGTGGAGCTCCGGGAGCGGCTGTGCGCAGTGTTTCAGGCTTGGTCATTCATAGTGGGCCCAGGACGATCACGCGTGCTCGGGAGATCGCAGGATAACCTCGGTGCCACTCAAACGCCCGCGCTGCCTGGACTCTCGGAGGTTTCTCACCACATTTGTTTGTTTGTTTGTACTGTGCTGAAGATTGAGCCCGGAACGTCATGCCTGCTAGTCAAGTGCCTTCTCCCTGAGCTACATCCCCAGCTCTTTTTTTTTATTTTTAGACAAGGTCTCCCTAAATTAGTGAGTTGGCTGAGCTGGGCTGAGTTCAAGTCTGCAATCCTCCTGCCTCAGTCTTCCAGAACGCTGGGGTTACAGGTGTGCCCCGCCACGTACAGCCTCCCCAGAGTCTTAGTGCAAGAAAAGTCCTTCGGTGTTTGCGCTGGAAAAGCAGCTCGTGGTATGAAGCTAGTCAGAAAGTGGTGGGGTTAACTGTAAACGTAATGGAGAAGTGTTTCTGAGGCTGACTTCTCTTCCTGTAGTTACGTGGTAGCAGTTTGAAAAGTGACAGATGGATCTGAGACGGCTGCAGCGGAGCTGCTGGAGCAAAGCCAGGCTCCCGAAGGCCGTGCAGAGCGGTGGTGGAACCAGCCACCGGGGGCGTGGGCTGTACACGGCCACGGTGGTTCGTGTCCTGGTCTTCTGTGGTTCATCCTTTTGTGTGTGTGTGTTTAATTTTGTTCCATCTTATAGTGAGGGGAATCAACCCAGTGCCTTCACAGTGAGCTACATCCCTGTCCTTTTATTTTTAAACTTTGAGGCAGGGTCTCCTTGAGTCACCAAATTGGCCAGCCTGGGCCGGAACTTGCGGTCCTCCTGCCATAGCCTCACAGAGTACGGGAATTGCAGGATGTACCACCACACTCCGTTTATACGGGGCACCTGGGGCCTGGGGTTTGTTCATGCTTTGCAGAGCTAGGTTCATGCTCTCTTGGTTCTGGTCCGAAAATTAAGTCCTTAGAAAAAGGAAAACCTAACGTATTAAAGCCCCCTCTTCTCCTGTAACTGATTCCCATCCTCGCTGGGAGACACAGCTTCAGTAAGAGCGGGAGCTCTTTGTGGCTTAGAAGACGAGATCAGGACAAACAGTTTCTTTCACCCTCTTCACAAAGGCCTGTTCTTTGGCGGGTGGCTTCAGCTGCTATTTTCGGAGCTCTGCTGCTCTGGGGCGCCGCAGGTTTTTACGTGCTTCTTAGTGTGGCCTGCAGGTTATGATCTAGGGACCTTAACCGAGAGGTGACAGAGTGCTGGGGTGAGTTTCCCAGGTGAAAACACAGACACGATGCCCCGGGGCTGCCTGGCTGCGTCCCGCTGAGTGCCCGGTTCAGGACCCGGCGTCGTCTCTTGGCTGTAGTCAGTGGAACACGCTGCAGATCCAATTTTAGAACAAACAGCCGTAGTCTGATGGCGGGTTCCATTGGGAGGTCCTGAAACACAGTAGCCCGCAGCCTCGATCAAAGGCTCCTCTGACGTGTCGCCCCAGAGGGGAGCCCCAGAGTGCATTCAGTCATTCAGTCATTCAACCTCCACCTTCCTGAGTTTGCACATGAGTGTTTCAAACGTACAAGTTTCCCCAAGGAAAACTTAAAATACGCAGCCCGGGATGTAGCTCGGCAGTAGGACACTTGCTTAGCATCACAGGGCCCTGGGTCGAATCCCCAGCACGGAATTAAAAATACAGCCGGGCGTGGTGGCGCACACCTGTAATCCTAGCACTTGCAAGGCTGAGGCAGGAGGATCGTTTCGAGTTCGAGACCAGCCTGGGCTACAAAGTGAGCTCAAGGCTAGCCTGAACTGCATAGCAAGACCCTGTCTCAAAAAGACAAAAATAAAATAAAATAAAATAAATAGCCAGGCACCTTGGCACATGCCTGTCGTCCCAGCTACTCAGAAGGCATAGCGGGGGGGATCTCTTGAGACTAAGAATTTGAGGTGCCTGGACAACATAGTGAGATCCCTCTCAAAAAGATAAAAAGGAGCTGCGGACACTGTGGTACATACCTGTAATCCCAACTAGTTGGGAGGCTGAGATAGGAGGATCACAAGTCTGAGGTCAGCCTGAGCAACTTAGTGAGACCCTGTCTCAAAAAGCCAAAAAATAAAAGCTCGGCGCACACCTGTAATCCCAGCACTCAGGAGGCTGAGGCAGGAGGATCACTGTGAGTTCGAGAGCAGCCTGGGCTGCAAAGTGAGCTCAAGGCCAGCCTGAACTGTGTAGAGAGACCCTGTCTCAAAAAAAAAAAAAAAAAAAAAGCCAAAAAATAAAGAGGATAAAGAGGGCTGGGGATGTACCTCGGTGGTACAGCACTTTGCCTAGTATGCACAAGGCCCTGAGTTCAGTCTCTAACGCAGCAAAAATAAGTAAGTAAATAAATCATTACAAGGAGCCCTACTTTAAACATTTATCAGCAAACACGTGTCAGAGAAACACCTGTGAGGGGGTGAACAGTGTCGAGAAAGCCTGGAAGCGTCCGGGTGTAGGCAAGCCCCCCACACCCTCCGTAGCCCTGTTTCCCATGACAGCATTTACTGGGTGACTAAGGCTGACCTTCCGCTGAGCTCACTAAGCCCTAAATTCCTTGGGGAAACTTGTGCGTTTGAAACACTCATGTGTAAAGCCCCTCGCCGAGGGACGGTGCTCAGTCAGCAGCTGAAGGTCCCGCGCGGATGGGACACCGCCCAGGCAGAGGGACAGGAGTGCAGGGACCCGGCCGCAGCAGACTCCCGCGCGCTCCCCGCATCACTCGTGTGCGCTCGTGCTGCCGCCGCTCGCTCTTGTCGTCCGTCCGTCATCCGCCTGCGGCGTGCTGTAGGAGTGTTACCCACGTGCTGTTGTTCACCACGAAATGAGTAAGATGAGTGCCTCTGTCCGACTGGCCTTCACCTCCAAGGTCTGGGTGCTTGTGAATTCACGTAGCGATGATGAAAACAGGAAGCCAGCCCGAGCTTGCAAGAGTGTTTTACAAGCAAGATTATTGATCTGTAATGTGAAACAAGGTAAGGAACAAACCCAGGGGAAGCCCCCAGCCGCCCCCAGAAAAGGCAGCACTTGCAAGAACGAATCTAGGCCGGAAGTCGAATGTGAAGAAGACGCAGACGTCTGCCTGGGGAGCTGGAGGGCACTAAGGCCACCACGCTGAGGCTGCCCGAGCCGCCTGCCTGCGTGGCGAGGCCCCTGGTGCGCACGTCCGCACGCACTGACGCTGACTGGCGCTGGTTTTGACTGTATTTAATCCTCACAGAGCTCCCTGTGAATTGTGAGCATAATGATCTCCATTTTACAGATGAGAAAATCTCAAGTTCCAGGAGGGTAAGTGGTTCACCAAGGTCAGGTGATTCGTGTGAGTTATAAAGTAATTAGCCTCAGACTGAGATGGCGTCGCTCGGGGCCCAGGGCGTAGCCCCGTGGGAGAGTGCTTGCCTAGTGTGCAGGAGGCCTTGGTTTGATACACACACGTGCGCACACGGGAATATTTGGATATAAATGGTATCTGACACCATGCAGAGGGTTAGATATTCTTGGCTCCAACCAACTCCTGGCCTTAGAAACTATAACAAGTGCCCTGGCCTCTGGCTCAGAGAGGGCACAGGGCCGGCAGTGTGCCCAGCCCACCCAGATCACCCAAGGAACAAGAAAACGGGGCGGGTATCACAAGTGTAGTAGAACTATGAAAAGTCCGTAAGGCTGAGAGCACAGCTCAGCGGTAATCTTAGGTGGTGTGCCTCAGACACGCAGACCAGGCTTCAGTCTCCAGCATCAAAAAAAAAGTCCATGAAATGGCTACACAGATTGTGTTTGCTGGGCCGGGGATGTAGCTCAGCAGCACAGTGCCTTACTTGGCAAGCAGAAGGTCCTGAGTTCGATTCCCAGTACCAAGAAAAAAAAAAAAAAAAAGGAAAGTCCCTCTAGATTGTGTTTGTTTTGCAACCATTGTCCAAACTGCGACCTTTTCATCAAAAATAAAACATTGAAAATCCCCACTTTTGCCAGGAAAGTCCCTGCCTTTAGTTGGAGGGCATGGTGGGGCACACCTGTAATCCCAGCACTCTGAGAGGCTGAGGCAGGAGAATCACAAATTTGAGCCGAGCCTGGGCAGCTTAGTGACTTTGCTGACCTTCTCTCAAAATAAAAAGTAAAATAAAGCAACAATAAATTATAGTTACAAGTTTCTTACTACTATAAATGACGTCTTCCTGTGACACATGAAGACAGGGCCTTCTGGGGGAGGATGTCACAGAACACATAATCCCTGGGCAGATTCATGAAGGATAGACAGTTTTTCCAGGTGGATATGGCAGAGGTGACAGTGCTTGAATGGACGTGCACAGAGATACATGTCAGGCATGGTGGTGTACGCCTCTAATCTCAGCACTCAGGAGGCTGAGGCAGGAGGATCACCATGAGTTCCAGGCTACCCTAGGTTACACAGTGAGTTCAAAGCCAGCCTAGATTATACAGTGAGACCTTGTCTCAAAACACCAACCAAAAAAAATTTTTAATAAAAATAAAAAGCCAGTGTGGTGGTGCACACCTGTAATCCCAGCACTTCGGGAGGCTGAGGCAGGAGGATCGTTGCAAGTTTGAGATCAGCCTGAGCTGCAAAGTGAGCTCAAGGCCAGCCTGAACTGCATAGCAAAACCCTGTCTCAAAAATAAAAAAAAAAATTTAAAAAATAAAGACAAAGGTCCACTTATATGGAGGAGTAGCAAAAGGACAGAGGTCACAGCTGTGCCAAAGGACTGTGCTCGGAGCAGTGCTAGGAGCATCTCACGAGAATCAGAACTGCCCTGAAGTCTTCTTGCCAGACTGGCTGTGGAGACTTCAGATGTGCTGAGAAGTTAAGCCTCATCCTGTAGACAGAGGTCACTGAGGAAACTGAAGACAACAGACTTGCTGGACACGAAGGGAGGGACCTCTCCGGAGGGGGAGTGCCAGGCGGTGAAGTGGGGTATGGTAGAGCAGGAGGCACGCAAAGTTTCCACCAGGGCCAGCAAGATAGGATGGACAGTGCCGAGGAACTTGGGGCAGAAAGGCGGGCACAGGATGGGGGCACACAGTCACTGCAGCTGACAAGATGGTGACTGGCCTGAGGGTAAGAGAAACGGAATAACCCCGAGGTTTCGGGCTTTAATAACGAGGTGTGGGGGGTGGTGGCGGCTGGGGATTTAGCTCAGCGGCACAGCGCCTGCTTGGCAAACGCAAGGTCATGAGTTCGATTCCCAGTACCGGAAAACAAACAAACAAACAAACAAATAAAAACAATGAGGCGGAAGGGTTCAATCCAGAGGGAGAGAAAGAAATCTGGGGGCCTGGAGGGAATGGAAATGGGCAAATGGGCGCTGTGCTTTGCACCAGGCAGCAGGCAGAGGCAGGGCACTATTTCAAGGAGAGAGTCACCAGCACAGGCAGCCGCTGAAGCCATCGCCATAGGTGAGCTTGGAGAGTTCCCCGAATGAGGGGGACTCCAGGGCCCCGGGGGAAGTGGCCTTTCAGGGTTAGGGGCTGCGGCTCTGCAGAGAGGGACCCCAGGGCCAGTGGTTGTCATCAGAGGATGGAGCCGGGAGTGGTGGCGCACGCCTGTAATCCCAGCACTTGGGAGGCTGAGGCAGGGGCATCACTGTGAGTTCGAGACCAACCTGATCTGCAAAATGAGCTCAAGGCCAGCCTGAACTGCAGAGCGAGACCCTGTCTCCAAAACACACAAAAAAAAAAATCAGGAGGGTTCTCATCCCTGTTGGTTTTTTTTTTTCATCTGTCACCCACCCACCCCAGTATTGAGGCCTAAGCCCGGGGCCTTTGAACTAAGCTACATCCCAGGGCCTTTTTCTCTTTCTATTTTCCGTTTTTTTTTTTTTTTTCTAAATTTTGAACAGAGTCTTGCTGAGTTACTAAATAGCCCAAACTGGGTTTGAATTGGTGATCCTCCTGCCTCAGCCTCCTTGCCAGGATTACAGGCATGAGTCACCATGTTTGGTTTTATTCTTCAATTTATGTATTTGGTACTGGGATTTGAATCCAGGACCCTGTGCATGTTAGGACAGTGCTCTACCGCCGAGCCACAGCTAGAACTCCCATTTGACAGGTTTTAACTCTTTTATCGAAAGAGTAATTACATGTCACCATTCTCTGATTAAAAGAAAAAATTAACCACCGAGTATCAGAAAAATAAAAAGCTACTGCCAGATAGGGCAGAAGCTGCCGGGAAGCCCGGCTCACTGACTGGGCAGCGGGGCAGAGCTGGCGTTGGGGCCCGGGCCGCCTTCCCCTGGCCTCTGAGCCCTGGGGAGCGAGGGCAGCTCCGGGTGGCCCTGTTTCTGCCTGCGCCCTGCTCTCTGGTCACAGGGGAGCGGACAGGAGTGCGTGGTAGAAGCTCAGCCAGTCAGATCCCCTCCCCAGGACCCCGAGTGGGGAGAGGGGGCGAGCTGGGGGCCGCTGGAGGAGAAGCAGGTGCACCCGGGGAGATCTCGCATCGGAGGCCGAGGGCCGGCCTGTGCTATGAACAGAAAGGGCGCGGCGGCTGCAGGGGAGGGTCTCGGGCAGAGCCGGCGGCCTTCTCTTACTGCTGCAGCAGGTGTGAAGAGCCCGAAGAGCCGGACCGGATTCACACATTCACGAGCCCGGCAACCCCGGAAAATGCATCCTGAGAGTGAGGAGGGCGGAGCGGTGCGGAGCCCGCGGTATCCAGGCAACAACAGCGCGGTGGGGACGGCGATGCGCGCGCCGGGGGGGCGGGGCCTCAGGGTGACTGGCAGGTGGTGCCGCCGCTCTTCCTGGGCCGGGAGGACAGGAGGCCTTGCGTTCTGACACCCTGAGGTGCTGAGGGCTGCTCGAAGCGGAAATGCCTTGAAAGCCGAGGACAGCATTAGTCGGGAGCGGGCGGCGGGTCAGGGCTGCCCCTCTGGGTGGTGCAATGTGGGTGGCCCAGCGCACAGCCGCTGGGTAGCCCCAGGCTTCGGTCAGCCGCCTGGAGGGGAGGAACTGTCCTTGTTAAGCCCCCTGCTGAGGACAGAGACAAGTCCTTGAGACCTGCTGATGGACGTCCCGCCTGACCTGGAGCATAGTCCTGAGGAGTGTGGATCTCGAAGTTAAATCAGGATGGCAAAGGAGTAGTCATTAGGTCGGGACGCAGCGCCTGCCTGTCAGGCACAGGGCCCTGAGTTCTAGTCCTAGTACCAAAAAGAAAAAAAAAGAGAGTAGTCATTATGGTCACCACAGCCTGGCCACATCCTTGCCTGCTGGAATCTGGATTAAAAAAATAGCTATGGGCTAGCTGGGGGTGGTGGCGCATGCCTAAAATCCCAGCACTTGTGAGGCCGAGGCAGGAGGATCTCCTCAAAGTCCAGACCAGGCTGGGCTGCATAGTGAGAACCTATCTCAAAAAAAAAAGGGGGAGAGCTGGGGATTTCGCTCTGCAGTACAGCGCCTGCCTGGCAAGCGCAAGGTCGTGAGTTCGATTCTCGGTTTCAGAAAAAAACAAAAACAAAACAAACAAACAAAAAGAAAAACAGCTATGGGGTTAGGGGTACAGCTCAGTGGTAGCGTGCTTGCGCAGTGGTGAGGTCCTGCGCTTTATCACCAGCACTGTGGGGGTGGGAGGGAATACTGAACAAGGAGTCTCACCCCTGCTTGCTAGGCAAGCGCTCTGCTGAGCTGCATTCCCAGCCATCAGCATTTAATTGCCTGTGCACGGTAATGGTCCCAGGTGGGAGAGAACCTTGGTCCTTAGAAGACACGCACGGTACTATGCAATGTACTATTCAAATGCTGAGAAAGCCAGGATAAACATTGTAATTTCACTTGGCTTTTAGTTACAGTACTTGCCTTTATCGCCGGTTTTAGAGGTCATGCCGCTAAGCTACACAGCCTTGTTAGCTTTGCTGGAGATAACGCCTGACAAACTGCTCACCGCGGTAATAGTTGCCTACTTAGCTTTTCCGGAACTTAGAGGTGGCTCAGACAGGTTGAGACCACCCGCACTTCCCTGGAGCCCGTGTAAATGACCGACAGGGGCCCTCCGACATCACAAGGCGCGGACTCCGTCATCAGAGCCAGCTGGCATCGCCACCGCATCAGGGTCCTGGAGGCCCATGAATATGATCACGCGTAGACAGGCTACGGATTCATTCTCCTCACCCCAAGCATCTTTCTCCAGGCCTCGGGCTACCCTGCTTCATTATTCCATAAATGCCCGAACGTCTGTGGGGAGGCAGATTTAAGGCTTGGGGCTGCAGTCTAATATTTGGCCCCCTCATGCACAAACTAATTTTCCTGCAAAATCCATGGTTTTGCTGACTGGTGTACCGGGCTTGTGTAAGCAACAGGGTGTAGGGGTGAAATAACAGAATGCCTGAAACTTGCCAGTGGCGTGACAGTGATAACCAATTAAACTGCATGTGCGTGCACACACACACACACACACACACACAGTGAGAGCAGGGAGGAGAGGGAGGAGGAGGGCAGAGGCACGGAGAGACACAGCGAGAATAAATACTAACTGAAAAAGTCTAGATTAAGGGTATTTTAGGGTTTGGGTTTTTTGGGTTTTTTTTTTTTTTCAACTTTTCCATAGGCTTTTTTCCTAAAAGAAAAAAATTGGGGGAAAAAAGGAAGAGTGATCAGCAGGGTCAATTTTTATTCAATTTGTAGATGTTTTTGGTTTTTTGTTTTTTTCCAGTACCAGGGATTGAACTCACAACCTTGCGCTTGCCGGGCAGGCGCTGTGCCGCTGAGCTAAATCCCCAGCCCCAATCTGTAGATGTTCTTAAGATGGGAGCACGCGTGTCTACAGGCAACCTTCCTGTGGCGGAGGAGGTGGTGTCAGGAACAGGAGCTGCCGGAGTCCCAGAGGAGGCAGGCAGTGCCCCGGCCGGACAGAGACTCCCACAGGCCAGCTTGGTGTGGCCCTGCCCTTCTTGTTTGATGATTTCCAGTTTCTCCACCAAGTAGGATCTGAGATTGTCCAGGACAGGGGCCAGGAGGGGTGACAGGTTCAGGCGGGGGGCTGATTGGGCACAGCCAAGAAAAAACTGGTAGAAAAAAAGAAAACAGTGACAGAATTTGTTGTTTGGAGTTGAATGGAAGTTTCATTTATCTGCTTAGGGAAGGAGCAAAGAGGACAGTCTGAGTGTTTAAGACCCTCGGTCTCAGTTTCTCTGTAACACGAGAAGCTTGCAGGGGGAGATCTCAAAGACTGCAAGTTCCTGCGCTCTGCAGCGTCCCCTCCGGAGCACATTCGGCCTGGGTGAGGATGTAGGGCTGGGCTGTAACTCAGTGGCAGAGCACTGACTTAGTGTGCATGAGGCCCGGGTTTGATCCCCGTACCAAGTAAACAAAAGCCAACAGTGAAAAAGCCCTCGTGAAAATTAGGTATCTAAGGGGCTGGGGATTTAGCTCAGCAGCACAGCGCCTGCCTGGCAAGCGCAAGGTGGTGAGTTCGATTCCCGGTACCGGAAAAAAAAAAAAATTAGGTCTCTAATTGAGGGTTAAAACCAACAAACAGAAAGCCACTTGAAAGATAGGCTGGTCAAGGCTTTAGAGCACCACCAGGGCAGAGCGGGCTGGCCCAGACGTCTGGAGGCTCCGAGGAACTTTGCCGAGGTGCTGCCAGAGCGGGCATACTGCCTGACCTCTTGGAGAATAAATTCCTCTCTCCTGGCTGTCACTGGAGTTCGCCTCACACAGCGTGAAAGGGAACAGTGCGTTAATGAGATTAACACTGAATAAACCTCCAGGTGTGAGCAAATACAGCCCGAAGTGGGCTCAGGAATTTTAAAACGCCTGTTACTAAAGACAGCCCCCAGGGCTGAGGTGACCTGTACCGACGAGCCAGGGGCTGCCGCCGCGATCCGAGGCCGCCGTAGCCCTTTCTTGGGGGTTCTGCACTAATATTCCCTCACTAGATAACCTGAGGGATTATCACCGCTACCCATTGTATAGACCGAGAAACTCAGCGCTGTCACAACAGGTCTCTGGGAGCCGGGGATTTAGCTCAGCGGCACAGCGCCTGCCTGGCAAGTGCGAGGTTGTGAGTTCGATTCCTGGTACCGGAAAAAAAAAAAACCAGATCTCTGTATCTTTGAGGGCAAAGACTGCGCGTGAGTCATCCCCCTTGGACTCCCTAGTGACTAGCAGAGGACCAGTGGGAGGGGAGAGAGGGGGGAGAAGCTGCAGCCGGCTCCTCGGAGGCAGCGCCAGCACACGCTGCTGAGCCGAGAGCCGAGAGCCGGACTCGCTGGCTGATTTACACAGATGGTCTCACTTAGACTTGAAAACCCCCGGAGGTGGGTATTATTAGCCCCAGGAGGAAACTGAGCGTCGAGGGGTTAAATAACTTGCCAAAGGTCACGCAGCAGAAACAGGAGTAAAGCTCCAATTTGTTTGAACCCAAGCCTGTGCTCTTGACCACCTGGCTGTCCAGTCTTTCAACAAGGTGAACCTCTGGAAGTCTTGCAGACACCTCGCTTGAAAGCAGTTAGCACCGTGCTGAGCGGAGGTACTAGGGCGGTCAGTGAACGTCAGCGGCTGTGACGGCCTGAATGACCGACAGCCCGAATGGATGAAGGAGTGGAGACAAGGCCTCCTGTCTTGTGAGGTCTTTTTCTTCCAGGGGAAGATCTCCCTGTGGCCTTTGATTGCTTGATCCAATTAAGGCAAAAAGGCATCAGAGAATTGCGGGGCCTGTCCTTCATTAGCTGTCAAGTCCAATCTGCCGGCTGTTTATGTGCGAGGTCAGAGATCAGCCTTGAGCCGCCCTCCTCTCATTCATCTGGCAAAGCTCAGAACGTAAAGTTTACTGACGCAAAACCGATTGGCAGGCGGGGGGGACGGGGCGGGGGGACGGGGGGTCGGAGTTCTGAGCGAGTGTTCTGGGCCACTGTTTCCGGCCGCTCCTCGCCGTGCTTTCTTGTTCTCCGGGTTGCTGGGTCACAGCTTCTGACCTAAAAGCAAGACAAGCAGCTGCTGGCTGCCCCTGGGCTGCTCTCATGGAGTCCGGGCCGAGAAGAGAAGGAGCTGCCTATTATTTGGAAAGAGTGAGATGTGGAAGGTTAGGTGAGGGTGTTCTGAAACCTTCACAGATTGAAGGTATCCCTGCGTAAGCCTCCTTCAGACAGACCCAGCGTGCTGGGGAAGGTGAGTCTTACACCTGCCGGCGCAGCCCGCCCGACGCTACTCAGCCACTGGCTCCTCGTGACCAGGAGCGGAGAAGGTGGGGAAGGACGCGTGGGCCACACATGTGGCTCTGCTTGCCGTGTCCTCGGGTAAAAAGCAGGAGTGGGCAGAAGTTCCCGAGGCGGGAGGTGAACCCAGGGCTCGTAGCTCATGCCAGCATGATGGGATGAGGACTCAAACATAATTCCACTTTTAAATCAGGACTACACTGGGTCCTGCCTGACGTGACAGAGAGCATCTGAGGTTACCTTAAATGCCATCCTTGTTGTCCGGTAAACTCAGAAACAGTGGTTTCCCAGCACACGGCTATCTGGGTTAAACCCCTCACACCTTCCCACGCGCGCTCACAGCGGCAAAGTAAAACAGTCTGCTTAGAAAGTAACAGCTCAAACCCCTGACCCACCCTCACGTTCTCAGGGTACAGTCCTGGTTCAGGTCTGTGTGTGGACAGGAAGTGGGGCAAAGTCCCTTCGCCTTATCTGTGGCACGTGGGGCCCGGGTGTATTGCACTCCAGAAACACCCACCGCGGAGCACGGCGGGACTGAGTCCCAGCTCTGCCACGATGCGCTCTGTGAACCCGGGTTCCAAGGATGACGGCCAGGACCTGCGCCTCTGAGTTCTGTCAGCGAGCAGTGAGCAAACTGCTACTGTCAGGCACTGAGCTACCCAGGCGGAAGGAAGGCCCCGCGGGCCCACCCCGCCACTAACTGCGTGTAACGCGGAACTCCAGAGTAAAGGGGTTTAGGCGTACGGTGAAGGGGAGCTGGGAAAGCCTTAGAGCAGCTCAAGTGGTTTCCAGACTATCAGCAGCTCCATCGGGAAAGATGTCAGACCCCACCCCCAACCTCCTGACTAGGGAGCTCCGGCTGGTGCCCAGCACTCTGAACAAGCCCTCTGAGCTCTGATGCCAGCTGAGTTTGAGAATTAAAAATTGCAAGCTATCCTGTAACAGCCAGCTTTTTTTTTTTTTTTGGAAATAAAGTTTTATTGGAATAGAGCTGTACTAGTTATTCATATATTGTTCGTGGCTACCTTCGTTCTATCCAACAGAACATATGGCCTGAACGTGTGAATTTTTAAATGTATCTTCTGCAACCACCATGTATTACAGCAGCCATTGATATTTTCCTACTAATCTATCCATAACTGTGTAAAGTTTGTAATGTTCCTATCCTATTTCATAAATGGATGTATGTTTATTATTATGTGTTTCCTACAACCACCATTGAGAAGAGTTAATGATTTTTCA